GCGCTACCGCCCACTGGCTGTGGGACTCTGAGTAAATCAATTGGTGTCCCTGAGACTTAGTTTCTCATCTATATAATGGGGCCAAGGAGAGTGCCTGCCTCATTAGGGATTTTGTGAGGACGAAATGAGAAGATGTGAGTAAAGCACTCAGTCCAGGGTCTGGTACACAGGCAGCTGTCTGTGAATATCAGCAACGATTCAATCATTACTGCTCCACCTCTGATGATATATTTCTAGGAAGAGGATTGTTTTTCTTCTTTCCTCTCTAAAACACAAGAGAGTTACGGAACACTAACCACTATGGCTGAAGGGCAATTTAGGAACAAAACAATCTCTAGGCCCCATCATTCTAAACCTCTATGTTTTATCACAGTATTCTAAAACCACTTTTAAATCATTCAGCATTTCCACTGTAGTATAATGTGTAGTATTTTAAAAAGCAGAGAGTTATCAGATGGGGGATTAGGTTCCATATTTACATGTAATGTACAGAGAGAAATGCTATTCTTTTTTAGGGGTTTGGTTCTGTTCCTGGCTTATACATCAATTTCCTCTTCCTGTTCAAACCCAGACGGTTCACATTCCTATGCAACTTTATGGTTATTGGTGTTTCTGTGGAAACAACCACCTAGGAAGTGGTATTTCCCAGGCTAAGAGCCTCCCAGTAAGCTTTCTTGGCAAGATGAGAGAAGGGTGTTTCAGATCCATAAAACCCATAATTTTAGCATGATTGTCAGATAATAAGGATAATAATAGAGTTGTAGAGCTTTAGAACTAGAAGAACATTAGATCTCATCTAGACCAACCCCCTCATTTTACAGATGAGTAAGTACCTTATGCTTAAACCGTGGTTGACAGCCCTAAAAGGGTTTTCACACGGATTATGTCATTTGCCTTCCCAAGGACTCCTTAGATAGTCAGTAGGTAGGCATTACTTATCTCCACCTTGGAGATGAAGACACCGAGCCTTAAGCCATGGAGGAAGTCAATCAGTGGGCACATCTACAACCCAAGCTTTTGACTGTCTTGTCAGTGTCCTTCCCATTGCAGCTTGACGCCACTCAGGACTTTGTATGTTGATCGGGACCATCTAGACTCCAGATCTCTCAGACTTGATACTTTTGGACTTTGAAACGTCGTATGCAGAACAAACTCTAAGCCTGTCAACGTGATGTATGAGGCCCTCACCCCTGTCCTTTGCCCTCTCTTCAGTCTCATCCCTTGCCATGCTTGGTTTCTACTTTTTGCTGTGGCAACTCCAAAAGCAATTATGGCTGCTTGCAACGTCTTTCCAGCTTACTTTTTTTACCCTAACTTTTTTTTTTTTAAGAATGAGCCTGAGATGCTCATCGTGTGTGTGTGTGTGTGTGTGTGCACGCCCCCCTATGCTTCCTTCTTGAAAACCTACCTCAGCCCTATGCTCTTGAAAAGGTGGGTCTGTACACTACATGAATTTACCCAAACCTGATTTTATCAGGGGTGGCCTTGAACTCTGGAGAGAGAAAAATGAAGAGCTCTGTAGATCTGAGAAGAGAGAAGAATCCTCGTGGCTCCAGAGAGACTGAGGAAAATATTGAAAGAAGTTAACGTTGTTCCTGATAACTTTTATATCACCTGGCTTCAAGTCCTCAGCTTTTGTGAGATGCTCCTGTTTGGTCCCCAAATTCTCCCTCTGGCAGGGGTGTTCTGGGAAACCAGCCCTTAAAAACAAACTAACTGGGGCGCCTGGGTTGCTTAGTCGGTTGAGCGTCCGACTTTCGCTCAGGTCATGATCTCACGGTTCGTGGGTTTGAGCCCCGCGTCGGGCTCTGTGCTGACTGCCAGCTCGGAGCCTGGAGCCTGTTTCAGTCTGTGACTCCCTCTCTCTCTGACCCTCCCCTGCTCGCGCTGTCTCTCTCTCTCTCTCTCCTAGAAATAAAAAACAAACAAACAAACAAACAACAAAGCCCTGATTTTTAGTGTTTGCCAGTTCCTAGGGGGTAAATACTCCCACTGTGGGCTATTCAAGCTATCATGATATTACTGAATACAGAATAGGGGAGACATGCACATACATTTGCCCTTCATACTCTTGTATGAACTGACTCTACCTCACCACTGCATTGGGCTTAGGCTAAGTGAGTGTTTTTTGCTCTTTGCATCCAAATACTGTACTATATTACATTAAGACACTGTTGATTGGCTACTTTATTTGCAGCAATAAAGGAAAAAACACTACTTTAAAAACTATACCATAATACTTTAAGAACAGTCTTCTGCCATCGTGAATCAATACCACTAACCTCTGCTCCTTGGACACTTTCTTGTATCTATTCCTCTGGGCTTAGCAACTATTCCTCCCCTTAGCTGTGTTGCTAAGTGTGTGGTAGGCAATTCTTTCTTTGGTATCTTAGCAACAAAATGTAACATAGCTTCATTTACTTGTGGGTATCTTCTTGAATGTAGGAAAATACTTGCTGCTTTGTGAGAAAATACAGAGCTGTGGACATTCTTCTAATGATGACTGTTTTCTTAATATCAAGGTATGGTCCATCACTCTGTTTCCATACTTTTCTGTTTAGACAATACCTTTTCTCTGTAACACGAAATCATATGTAATTTCTTGAAGATATTTTCAACAGTAGTTGAACTCCACGTTAAGTGTTGAAAGTAACTCAAATCAACCCATGTCCAAATAAGCAAGTTTCTTCCTGTGGGTATGACGACAATTAATGTCATTGTAGCTTGCCTGGCCCATAGCTACTATGTCTCCATGGATATAAGAAGAATCCTAGTTTCAGAGATGTTACAATGTAGAGAAGAGTGCATTTTAGCATGGAGGAGGGCACTTGTGGGGATGAGCACTGGTTGTTATAAGTAAACCAACTTGACAATAAACTATTAAAAAAAGAAGCAAGGAAATATGGTAATCTCTTACCTCAGAAAGTGATTTGGCTCAGCTACCACTACCTTGGCTTTTCCTAGTCATCTTTTGCTCCTTCTTCGGAGTTGAGCTAAACACCCCACATGGTGTTCTCATAGCATGCTGTGTATGTCATCGTGATATCACTGAATGCAGAGTTGGGAAGATGTGTGGTGTCCTAACTATCCATTTACCCAAGGAATGTTATCTTTGATAACTCTTTGGGTCCACAGAACATTGCATAGTGTCTGGCACATAGTAGTTCTTCAGTAAATGCTTAATGATTGATTTGTGAGTCCTAGGAGAGAGTTTATCTTTCACGCCAGCAGGTGCAAAGTTCAGGCCAGCAGGATAGCCCCTGTCTGGCCCAGGTCCTCTCCTGCAGCAAACCACTCTCTGACCATCCCCCTAATCTATCGAAATGTTAGAATGCACTGTCATTCTTTTTTTTTTTTTTTTTTACAAATAGTTTATTGTCAAATTAGTTTCTACATAACACCCAGTGCTCATCCCCAAAGTGCCCTCCTCCATGCCCATCCCCCCCTCCCCCCACATCCATCAGTCCTCAGTTTTTGTCAGCATTCAAGAGTCTCTCATGGTTTGCCTCTCTCCCTTTCCCCCACCATTTCTGCCCTTCTTCTCCCCCTTGTTCCTCCGTCAAGTTCCTCCTAATCCTCCTATATGTGCAAACATATGATATTTGTCCTTCTCTGCCTGACTTATTTCGCTAAGCATAACATTCTCAAGGTCCATCCATGTTGCTACACATGGCCAGATTTCATTGTTTCTCATTGCCATGTAGTATTCCATCGTACAGATAAACCACATCTTTTTCATCCATTCGTCCAATGATGGACACTTAGGCTCTTTCCATGTTTTAGCTATTGTGGAGAGTGCTGCTATGAACATTGGGGTACATGTGCTCCTATGCCTCAGCATTTCTGTATCCCTTGGGTAAATTCCTAGCAGTGCTATTGCTGGGTCATAGGGGAGTTCTATTGCTAGTTTCCTGAGGAACCTCCACACTGTTTTCCAGAGGGGCTGTACCAGTTTACATTCCCACCAACAGTGTAGGAGGGTGCCCGTTTCTCCACATCCTCGCCAGCATCTCGAGTTCTCTGATTTGCTCATTTTAGCCACTCTGACTGGGGTGAGGTGGTATCTCAGGGTGGTTTTGATTTGTATTTCCCTGATGAGGAGGGATGCTGAGCATCGTTTCATGTGTCTGTTGGCCATCTGGATGTCCTCTTTGGAGAAGTGTCTGTTCATGTCTTCTGCCCATTTCTTCACTGGGTTGTTTGTTTTTCGGGCGTGTAGTTTGGTGAGTTCCTTATAGATTCTGGATATTAACCCTTTATCTGATATGTCATTTGCAACTATCTTTTCCCATTCCGTTGGTTGCCTATTAATTTTCTGGGTTGTTTCCTTGGCTGAGAATGCACTGTCATTCTTATTTGCCTTCTTCCTCATGCCCTTAATATGGGAAACCAATTCATTTGCACATTCTACTGAATAATAATGGCATCATGTTTACATCCCAGATACTTCATAACTTTTTCTAAGGAAGTGGGAAGGAGCTAACTCACAGAAGATAATCTTGATAAGAATTTTGGGCTGATGTGAGGACATTTTTGAGCCAGGCTGCTTTTCTCTAAAGTCATACCACTTAAATAATTGCCCAAGTTCTCTTTCTATCCTAATTGGGAGCCATAATGTATTACTTTATTTTTTTTAATGTTTTTATTTTTTTATTTATTTCTAGGAGAGAGAGACAGCGTGACCTATTTCTAGGTCAGAGAGAGAGGGAGTGACAGACTCTGAAACAGGCTCCAGGCTCTGAGCTGGCAGTCAGCACAGAGCCCGACGCAGGGCTCGAACCCATGAACCGCGAGATCATGACCTAAGCGAAAGTCGGACGCTTAACCGACTAAGCCACCCAGGCGCCCCCATAATGTATTACTTTAAATGGTCTGTATCATCTTTCACACCACCCCCTTTCGGGGTCTTCTTGCCATATGAATGGGATTAGCTTGGGCAAGGGACCAGCATAGGTGACCCACCACCACCTGTAGGGAAGGCACCACCCACTTGCTCTGGATTAATTCAACTATGTTTTATTATCTCCCAGCCAAGAGTCACAAAACCCAGCTCAAATCATTGTGATATCTTGTTTCCTTAAATGAGAAAAATCTTCAGCCTCTTCCAGATGATCTTAAATCCTTCACTCCTTCGCGAGTGCAGCCACTTCGATCTTTGGTTTTCTCACAATACTCTTCTCTCCAGACACTGCTTTACCGTCCAAGGTCTGTCCTAACCTAGGAAAGTCGAAGGAAGAAATACTAGTTATAGATATCAACCACATAAACAAACAACAGTAATTCAAATTTACAATACAGTTTTCCCGGCTTTGGACTCTTGCACACTGGGATACTGGAAAGATATCAAAGGATGGGTGGGGTGCCTGGGTGGCTCAGTCGGTTAAGCGTCCGACTTCGGCCCAGGTCATGATCTCACGGTTCGTGGGTTCGAGCCCCGCGTCAGGCTCTGTGCTGACAGCTCAGAGCCTGGAGCCTGCTTCAGATCCTGTGTCTCCCTCTCTCTCTGACCCTCCCCTGCTCATGCTGTCTCTCTCTCAGAAATAAATAAAACCTTTAAAAAAAAAAAAAGATATCAAAGGATGGGAAAGTGGGACCCAGTCCAACTCGAGGTGCCTGTGATTTAATTCTCAGACAGAGGTGGGTGGGGGGACTGCTCCCCTGCTTCAAAAAGGCAAAAGTAAGTCGCTAGTAACTCTTCTTCTATATGGAGACTCTGTGGATAAGAAACCTCAAGAATGAAACACTTAATTACAACCAAACATGGAACAGACAAAGGAGCAAGGACTGTTTTATGTGAATCCTGCTTACAAAGGAAGGCAGCTTCTTCCAAATCTTGTAAGAGATCAGTGACAAGTGGGGATTTTTTATTTCTGGGCGCAGTGAGCAATTAACTTAAAGAGCCGTCCTCACTTAAGTTTTTATAGCAAATAGGAACAGGCTCTCCCCCACCCCCATCCCCAGTGAGCTTTAGGGCCGCTGAATAGACTTGGAGTTTTTGTACAGACTTAATTTCATGACTGGTGAAAAATATTTCAGCCATTTCCCTAACTTTAATAGTTTCCATCCCTAACCTCAAAAAGGAAGGTAAAAATAACGAATGGAAGTGAAGGGGGGTGGGGTTGCTCCTGAGTCTCTGTCAGCTCAGAGTTGTGGCACCAACACGGGCCCAGGGAGGGGTGTGTGCCCACTCACCATCTCTCACCGGAACCCCTTTTGTTAACGGCTTCTCTTGGCAATCACCTCTTCCAGACGCATGTGGCCGAATGATACAGTTCGCGGGAAATTGTCAGGAAAAGGGTATTCCTGGGGTGGAGTCTCTGAGTCGCAGACTGGGCAAGCAGTAGAGAGCACAGTAGATTCAAACAGGCTAATGGTTCCAGTGCAGAGCCAATTTCAACAGCCATGCCGACTCCTGACAGTCCTACCCGTCCATTTCCATGCTCACTTGGGCTCCTGCAGCCTCCGCCAGTCTCTTGGCATCCTCCCCTCCCTGCCCCCTCCTCTCCTGCCCAACCACCAAAGCCAAAGTCATCTTTGAATGCCATAAAGCAATTTCCTGCTTCAGACATTTCAATAGTTCCCATCACGCTCAGAATCATGCTCAGACTCCTTATCTCAGCCTGCAAGGCCCTGCAGCATCTGGCCACTCACTTCCCCTGCACATCAACTCACACGGTCTCTTCCTAGTTCCCTGGGCTGCAGCCAGTGGCCTCTCTCTCTTCCCTGAGCATGCCACCCCTTCCCTCCCCAGGGCCCAGGCCCTTGCTGTTCCCTCTGCCTGGACTAACACTGCCTCCCATGTCTCTATATTGTGATCCCTCGGGTCTCAGCCTGCCTCGGGTGGTCCTTCCCAGACCACCCAGCCTTCCCCAATCATTCTCTGCGTGTTTGCAAGTCTTGCTTTTATTTATCTTTCCTGGTTTATTGCTCCATTTTCCTTACCAGAATGTAAGGTCGTGAGGAGAAGGATTTGATTTTGAACAGCATAGCATCCTTAGCATGGAGCTGGCACGTAGTGGGAAGTCCATAAGTACTTGTTGAGCGACCGAGTCCCTTAAACTATTTGGCCCTTTGTATTTCAGGCCTTAGCAAAGCTTGCTCCCTCTCCTTCAGGATCTGACTCTAAATCCATGCCTCTGGGAGACCCTCCTGCTCCTAGATCATTATTCATAACTCCCTTCTGAATTTGGATGAGTTTTTGTTTGTTTGTTTTTGTTTCTTTGTGTCGTTTTTGTTTTTTGAAAGGGGTGTGTTTTAAGCAGGGTCTAATACATTACAAGAACTTCCAAGTGTCAAGCGATACATGTGAAACAATGGAAAACGTTATTGCCACGGAGGGCTGCCCTTTTTTAAGTCCAGTTGTGGCATCCGTATGTTACTGCTTGACCAAGTCACTAGCGGCAACACGTATTCGGCATCTCTCTTCACTGTGTGTGTGTGTATGTTTCAGACAATTGACTCCAAGTGTGGCTCAAGTTCACTCTTTTTCTGGCTTCTCTCGCAGTTCTTAAGACAGGATATTACATAAACCTACGATTCCAAAATATGTCCTTCTGATATTTATTATTAGGAACCCTCAGGTCTAGAAATATAGTTCGCCTTAAGAGGAACTTGCTTTTAGACACATGATGCTATTGCAGTCATCAAATGTGATACTCTTGATGCTCTTGCAGTCATCAAATGTGATACTCTGCCCTCCTCAGTGTACCTATATTTATAGTTTGCAAAACACATTTGCATTATTGATCTCATTTGACCTTCACAACCCGTGGAGCTGTAGTGAGGAAATGGCCCCCTTATTACAGAGGAGGAAACCAGTTCAGAGTGGTTGGGCATCCTAGACTGTGTCCCAGTTGACCAGGTGTTTGGGGCGAAGCTCTTTCCTCATCACCATCACAATGTAGTTTTCGTAGTGAAATTGAGTAACTCTGTGAAACAGGACATCAAAAGAATTGACTGCATGGACTTAACGTATGTATGAATACTGTCCACAACCTGCTGGAGACTCAAGTGCTTTTTCAAGAACAGGTTTCTGAGCTTTCCCTCCCAAAGATCTCTTATTTTTTCTCCACTGTGGATTCCCCAGGCATGGAGGGCCCAAACTGGTTTCTGATCCTCTTTAGATCACTAGCATTTTCATGTGGAGTTTATTAGATTCTAGTCAAAAGCAGCGGCGCTTCACTGTTTCAGTTCACCAATGTAGCCTCATCACGGACAGATTTGTTTTCTTCCGTAGGTTTCAAAATGTTGACAAAAGCATAAATCCCCCTCCGTTAACACCACCTCAGTGATTACCCCAAGGATAATTTGGGCACGGGCTCTGAATGTGTGATACGTAGGTTTACACTCAGGAAAGGTATCTGTGAAAATTACGCAGAGCATAAATTAAATTGCATCTCAAGGCCATCCTCAAAGCCTTCCGTTTCAGTGCAGTTGGAAATACAAAGCATCACTTAAGATAAATGAGCTACAGCTCTGGGCAGGCAATCTTTCCTCTAATTCATGGTTTATTATAAGGATGTTTAAAGTGGAGGGGTTATTAGGCTTGTCCAATTCAAATACTGTCATATACTTTGGCAGAAAGATACATGGGATGATATTTTCCTTTTTAAAGAAACATTTTGTACAGATGTACAACGTGAGCCTAGATACAGGAAAGTAAACTATTTCCTTCTAAAGGGAAACAGGATATGTATTTAGTACCTGATCACTTCCCTTTGGTTGCATGTCCCAATAGCTACTATTTAGCATAAGAACTCACTAATAATTACGATGTATGTATACTATTTTTTAAAAATCAGTTTACAAAGTTCTTCATATTACGTTATTTTATTCTCCCATCAACTCTATGAACATCATTATCTTTGCTGACAATTGAGGAGACTAAGACCCAGGGCAATCAAATGGCTTCTTCTAGGCCACCCAGAGCATCAATAACAGAAGAATTCAAACATGATTTCAGACTCCACAAAGCCTGCTTCCCACCACTGCCATGCTTTGTGAGAGCCTTGTAGTAGAGTTTTCTGAAATGTTCGAGTTAGAGGAAGAGAAGATGCTAATTACATATTACTTCTGAGCCTTAATCACCACTAAATTCCTGGTAACAAATTTCTAATTGGCTTGTTAATGAGTTGACCAAGATAATACTCCTTCCAGATAATCAACTGCTAAATAATTGGAAATTAGCTGCTTTTATCTCAAGGATGTGTGAAACCTAAGCCTGGCCTTTCTAGGGGGAAAAAGGAAGTGGATTTGATAGTTGTGAGGTTTTCCTTGCCCCCCACCCCACCGTGTCCCATTTGAACAGATACACTCTGGAACAGTGTGGCAATTATTACAACATGATGGTGCAGAATTTGGTCTTCAGATATCAGAAGATAAATTACATTAGCCTGAGAGTTCGCCTTGTTTAAATGCCTCCCTTTCTGAGTCCCATTTTCAGAGTCAAAAACAAACTAATCTGTTCATACTTTATAGATGAACAGACTTGATAAGAAATTAAAAGGAAGCTGATGCCAGGATAGCTTCTTTGGGTGAATGAGCTGAGTAGTGGCCCAGGATCCCGAGCTCTTGGTTAATCCTTTGTGGTTGCCATCTTGAGATTCTTATGTTTTGAACAAGGTCCTTTTATTCTCATTTTGTGTTTGTCCCTCAAATTATGCAGCTGATCCTACTCGGTACCACAGGATGTTAGCTTCAGAGATAGTGATCCTGTTAGATTAGAGTGCTGCCAAGATTTTAGGTCTCCCCCCAAAACGTGGGCATAGGCCAACACACTGCTTGCTGACAGAGCCAGAAAAGTGTCGCGTCAGAACTACACTGGGGCCACAGGGCACTGCTCGATACCTGGCAGAAGGTTCCAGGCTAGTTGAAGCCAATGAGGTGGAGGCCTGGTGTTTCTACCCCAAATGTCAGGAAAATATAAAGTGTCTTCAGGAATAGAATACTAGTCTCTTGCTTGGGACCTTTTCCCCACATACCTACTTAACCTGTTTAAGGGAGTGTTGGCATTGGTCAGATGGGAAACATGTTCAATATCCAATGGGCTACAATCTTTTGGAATTTTTAAAAAATGCTTTTAGTTTAGAAAGGATTTTTAGTTTTTTAAATTCTAACATTTTTACTTATTACAAAACAATATTCATTGAGAAACACATTTCATTACTGATGAGCAGAAAAAAATTAAAAAATCACCCATAGTCACATTCCCAAGTGGTGATCATTATTAACAGTTTTTAATTTAGTTTGAGAGAGAGAGAGAGAGAAAGAGAGAGAGAGAGAAAGAGAGAGAGCTAGCAGGGGGAAGGGGTAGAGAGAGGGAGAGAGAGAATCCCAGGCAGACTCCATGTTGTCAGTGCAGAGCCTGACATGGGGCTCGATCTCACGAAAATGTGAGATCATGACCTGAGTGGAAATCAGGAGTTAGACACTTAACCAACTGAGCCACCCAGGCATCCCCATTAATGATTCATTCATTTTAATTAATTAATTAAAATTTACATCCAAGTTAGTTAGTGTATAGTGCAGTAATGATTTCAGGAGTAAAATCCAGTGGTTCATGCCCCACATATAGCACCCACATGTATATAACACCCCAACATATAACACCCAGCGCTCATGCCAACAAGTGTGCTCCCTAATGCTCCTTTCCTATTTTGCCCATCCCTCTACCCACAACCCCTTCAGCAACCTTCAGTTTGTTCTCTATATTTAAGAGTCTGTTATGTTTCATCCCCCCCCCCCCCGTTTTTATATTATTTTCACTTCCTTTCCCTTAGGTTCATCTGCTTTGTATTTAAATTCCACATATGAGTCAAGTCATATGTCTTTTCTGACTAATTTCACTTAACATAATACACTCTAGTTCCATTCACGTTGTTGCAAACAGTAAGATTTCATTCTTTTTGGTTGCTGAGTAATACTCCATGTGTATATGAGTGTGTGTGTGTATACATATATATATGTATAAAACAGTTTCTTTATTTGTTTATCTGTACCAGTTTGCATTCCCACCAGCAGTGCAAAAAGGTTCCTCTTTCTCTGCATCCTCACCAACATCTGTTGTTGCCTGAGTTGTTAATGTTAGCCATTCTGATCAGGCACCCCATTATTAACATTTTAATACACACACACACACATACACAATTGTTTTGCTTTTCATTTAATATTTTGACAGCACGATCCATGCCATTAATATTCTACCACTGTATCACATTAAATCTACCATGATTTTAATCACATTTATAGTTTATTGAACTTACCTCTATGACTTGATATATAGATTGATTCTTATTTCTTGTTACCTCAAACGGTGTTGTGATGAACAGGTGTGTAGCTAAATTTTCATAATCATTCATGTCTACTGTTTTAGAATAATTTTCTAGAAGTGAGTTACCTAAGTAAAAGATATGAACATATCGGGGTGCCTGGGTGGCTTAGTTGGTTAAGTGTCCAACTTCAGCTCAGGTAATGGTCTCCTGGTTCG